AATCCAATATTCTGTTGCTCATTTATAATTATGTATAGTTTATTGTATTTATAGATTCATTTCCTTGCCCTATTAAATTTGCTTATTTCTATCCTCTTGTGTATTTTGTATTTTTATGAGCCACCCCAGATCTTCTCTGGAGCAAGAAGAACTATAAATAAATTAGTGTAGTACTTGATAGTTCACAAAATATTTGTACATCACTAGTCTTGTGAGGGGACAATTATTCCCTTTGATAGATGGGAACACTGAGGCTTAGACAAGAAAATTGACTTGCCCAAGGACACACTGACAGTGAATGGCACAGGTACATATTAAACTGTCCCTCTCTACATCTGTTTCCAGTGCTCTTGCACCATAATGCTGCTTCTCTGTACCAGAGCGCCAAACAGGGAGGCAGAAGGACAGTGATTGTCTCTGTTAAGGGACCAACATAGAACCTATATAAAATGTGTACAAGTTTTCATTTAAATTATCTATGTTTTAAAGAAAAATGAAAATTATAAGTATTCTGAACTACTAATGCCTATTTCCATGATTCTGGGCAATACAACTTATCACGGAGCATCAAAAAGAATTTAAATGATTAAAACAAATCTCTACTCACCTGCTAAAGGTGAAAAGGTACTATATAGATTGTTTTTAGAAAATGAACAGTGCCTGGTGGTTTAATCTTGGCAAAATATGAAAAATATAAATTGATTAAACTTATTTTAATGGGTATTTACCTGCAATTTGTCTCAAATCCAGGTGTAATCTAGATTCATTATCTTGCCTCTTCTGTCTGGGAACTGTGAGTGCTGAGCACAGGTTTGGCAGGCTGGGAAGAAAAGAATTAGGGAGGGAACTATTGAGCCAGGAAATCCAATTCTGTGTGTCTATAGGATCAGTTTTGTTGCTGACTCAGAAGAAACAAAATGTACGATGGCTAAGCTCAGCAGAGACAGAGAGATAGGCAGGAATTTCAAAGTCCCATTCTCCTTGGTACCCTTTGGAGCCTCAGATCAAATCACTTTTGCTGCTCTTCCTTTGTAATGACTATGGACCTTCTAATGGCCCGTGAGTGGCTTTTGACAGGATCCCCCACTGCAACCTGCCAGAGTATTTGGTACCCATGCTGTTTCCCACCTTGCAGTTTTGAGAGAAAGGAATCTACTGATCCTGTGGGATCACTGTATATGAATCATCCAGGCCTGCAAGGAATCTTGGGAGTGACACTGCCTTACCCAGAACCCTTTGCCCACGGAGAAATTATTTTTGACAAGATACTGATGGAAAAAGTAGAAAGGCAGACAGGCAGCTATCCATCTCTCCTGCATCATCAATAGAGTCCTTTCTTCCCAGAATCTGAGAAAAGGAAAATCAAGTGGAAAAAAAAATTCAGCTCAGCATGCGATTTATTTTTGCATGGGCCCTTGCCTGAGGACCCCAGGTATAAAATGAGAATGATGAACATCTTGATTTGGTTTATAAGGATGAGAATAATATCATGCATGCATCCTAGTCATTTTTACTGTACTCCAATTTTTATTTAAACCATTATTCATTATAACCTCAACATCCAAAAGTTTATATACCCTGCAGCCTTGCAGTTGTCTCAGGAGGCCACCATGCTGTACAGAGTATCTTGCTGCATGTGTTTTTAGAAGACAGTTCTGTGGTACAGCAGCATCTGAATATTTACATGTCAAGTTTGTGTGTAAAGGCTTTGGAAGCCTCAAAGAAAAAATCCTTGACACACCTGGCAAGCCTGGAACCTGATCCTTCATTCTTCCTCCCTGCTTCACATCGCACTGACACGGTACACGGGGGAGGCCCAGAAACAAGGAAAACAAGACCCACTGCTTCAGAATTTAGACTGCAGGGTGACCACACTGAAGTAAGAGTCAACAAAAGCAAGCAAAATCACACGTAGATGCACATATTTCCAAGAGCTATTCTTGGGTTTTTCTACGGACATGAGCATATAACCAGATTTATGATGTAGTGTTCGCTTAGGAGCAGCTAATCATACCCACCCCCCAAAATCTTAGGCTCAGAAGTTGCACACGAATTCTATGTGACTTTTCTTCAAAGCCATTCAACCTGAAAGATTTCCAAGTGTGTCACATGTCACATTTAGCTACTTTTGCTATGAAGGGCTTTTCAGCCAACTGGCTCAAATTTGTTGCCTGGAAAAGCAGAGGAAGAGAAATGTTTAGCCAGTCAACTAGCAAATAGATGAGCTCCTGAAATAAATTTTATTTTGCTAGTCCTCAATAAACTGTACAAGGTTCTCCACTTAGATTATCAGAGCAGGATGACACTCCAATCAAATGCATCCTGTAATCTTACAGTTATATTAGCACTACTGTTAGGCAAATCCCCATTCAGCATGTCAGAATCCAGTTGATCACTAGACTGAGCTGAGATTTCGTCTCCTGAAGACTTTTATTGCTCCCCTTTCCCCACCATGATTTCTCCTTGTCTCAACTCTTCTTATCTATAACTTGGAGTGTTCACTAATGAGGGGTACCTGTGTGCTTCTTTTATTTGTATTGCTGGATTGTAATGAAAGGAGGCACATAGAAGATGCTCTGTTCACGTGTCCTTTTAGAATGCCCTGCAGATTCTAAATATTTGTCAACTCCACTTGATTTTCTAAAATGCTTAATCACCATCTGACATCATCTATGAGGTTCCAAGCATAAGTCAACACAGGCACAAGAGTGTGTGCGTATATCCATGTCTTTATGGTAATTTTTTAAGTTACCGATAACCTTCAAATCATGTATGTGTCTTAGTCATTTTTGCTGTATTCATTAGCAGTGACTGCAAGGTCTTAAGGAAACATTAGAACTCAGACATGTAATTAAAGATCTCTTTCCCTCCTTCTTTCTCACATGGACATTGATAGAACTACTAGTACAAAGATATATGTAACCTCAGGTTTTAGAGTTACAGTTCCTTTTAGATTCTTGACACATTCATGTTTTTATTTCTGCCTGAAATCTTTTCTGGAACAAAATAGAGCATAAAGAAATGAAAAAATTATCTACAACAAAGAAACAAGCATGTCTTATTTGAAATATGTTTGCGACGCACAAAAAAAAAAGACATTAATTACTTAATAAGCAATGGGCTGAGTGCTAAGGACACAAATGACTAGTCGTTGTTTGTGAATGTTAACTATATGAATGTGGCAGCTTTTCTTGACCTGCCTGACCTTTCTGACATCTCTGTTGGCTGTGCATCTGTATAATAGTGTCTTTCATCCTGAATATATTTGTTTTAAAAGGTAAGCCTAGTCAACGTGAAATCAAGGAAGAAATTTTCATAAGATATTTTAAATGTTTTAAAATATTTTGATCATTTGCACACAACTTGTGTTTATATGACAACAAACAAGCCTTTCAACAGAAAATAAACTAGCTGAGACATATGCTTGCAGATTGCAATATTTAGACACAAAAGATGGTTCTACCCTTTTCATCTTCCCCTCATCCCTCCCCCCCCCATATTGAAGGGAGTCTTCCAAATGAAGGGCTTCAGCTAAGTCAGTTCACCTCTAGAAGGGTCTGCTTGGTCATCAGTGGCGAGCCCCATCCTACCTTACCTTGGTCTCCCACACCCCTTTTGTGCCCCACACAATAGATACAGTCATCTTCTGTAACTGTAGGGGATTGATTCCAGGACTCCTGTGGATACCAAAATCTGGTGATGCTTAAGTCCCTTCTACAAAGTGGTACAGTATTTGCATACAATCTGCACCCATCTTCCTGTATACTTTAAGTCACCTCTAGATTACCTATAATACCTAATGCAATATAAATAGGTGTTATACTATATCAGTTACAGAATAATGACAGAAAAATGTCTGTTCATGTTCAGACCCACAATTTCAAAATATTTTCAAGCTGTAGTTTGTTGAATCCATGATTGTGGAATCCACTGTTTCTTCCTTTAAATTTGGATTTTTATTAAACAAATTACAGATTAGGAATGATGATAGGTAAAAGAATTTGATATTCTTTTCAAAACATAAAATATGAATATTTTTCCCTAGTTTCAGGAACTTCTATCATAAAGGTCAGTTAGAGGCCTTGCTTAAATCAACCTGTATCGACAGAAAAACAATTGGGATGGGGAGATAATTCAAAACAAAATTACACTTTTGAAAATATGGCCCAACACTGTACATTAAAAAAACTTACGAAAGCCTGTAATAGATGTTATAGTTGACCTACCTGAGCATATAAAAATTATTGGTCCTCTGATTGGTATCATTTTTTTCCTTATGTCACCACTTGTATGAAAATTTCAAGTTCCTAGAAAAAGTATTAGCCCTGAAATAGAATTATCAGGTCAACTTATAGACAAAGAAAAACAAACATTGTGGAAACTCATAATTCTTGAGAAGTTATATTTTATTTAAAAAGCATTTTAGAGTCAGGTATGGTGGCACATATCTAATCCCAGTGATTCAGGAGGCTGAGGCAGGAGGATCACAAGTTTGAGGCCAGTCTCAGCAACTTAGCAAGACCTTCTTTCAAAATGAAAATTTTAAAGGACTGGGGATGTAACTCAGTGGTAAAGAGCCCCTGGGTTCAATCCCCAGTACCACCCCTCACCAAAAAAAAAAAAAAAGGCAATTTAGAGTCTGATAAAAACAAGGCCTAAAGGGGAAGGGGGGAGGCCTGCTATTATTTAGGTGATATTTTTCAATGTGTGCATTTATGTAAAGAAAAATCTTAATGCATTTAGATTTGGAATCTGAAAATGTTTCACTAGGATTTTGGTCCAGTTTCTGCAATGGCTATAATTTATAAAAATCTAGTAAGAATAGGATGTGATTATATTGGGCTTCAGTCTGAAGAATTGTTTTAGCAGGAATTTTATATGCAAGACTAAATGCTGATCAACAGAGCATAATATTATATTCTGAAGTATGCTGGCAAAGGCAAAATTTAATTTTTTTTTTTTTGTTCTTTTTTTCCTTCTCCTGAAATCTTCTGCCATAGCGACTACATTTGCCTCCAGACTTGTCAGACACAGTGAGCCGCTCAAGCAAACAGGATCTGGCAGAATCCGCCAAGCTGCTGGGCCCAGGCTGTGGCATGATGGCCGGAGGCAAGAAGCACCTGGACTTCTAGGGATTCCTCCTTAGTCTTTGCATGCAGAATTATGTGACACTCTAATTATGATTGCTAATAGCTTATGTAAATATTTTTCTTAATGATTTGACCCTCCAGTCCTTAAAAAACACAGTGAAGATTTCAAAAGGGGGCCACCATTCTCCTTTTTTTAACCAACTATTTGTACAGACATAATACAATAGAAATACTTCTATTTTGGAATTTTGTTTTTGCTATGTTCAGAGAAAATAGATCATTTATTTTTAATAAATGGGGGGAAGGTCAAAAAAATCAAAATACAGTGGTCATTAGGGTACTTGTGCTAAGGCACTTAGAATCATGGGAAAGCACATGTTATAGCAGGCAGCATGTGAAACATGAAATTCAAGTTATATTCAAAAACATTTTGTCTTTACTTCTGAAAAAGTCACTTGCCCCCAAAAATGCTAAGGTTTTTTTTTTTTTTTTTGGTAAGAAAATTTTGTTTGCAAATCTATGAAATAAATTCACATTTATGTATCCTATTATAAAAATGATGAAGACAAAATAATATTTGGGGATTCAGACTCTGTTTAAGATACTTAGTGTGCCATAGTAGTTAATAAATATAAAGAACTTGAATGATAGAAAGAATAGAAAAAGAAGTTGATGGTCTTCTGTTTAATAATCCTAAACAATTGAAATCAGCACTATGAAATGGTGTCAACAGACATAATTCAGGATTGAAATTCAAACTGACAGCTATGGTAATTCTAGGACAGTGGGGGAAACACGTATTGAAGCTTGGTGAGAGATTTTTGCAGTCTAGGTCTGAGACAAAGGGGAAAATGAGATGAAAATTTCCATTGCATCACGTCAACCCTTTGTTAATTATGAACATTGGGTGAATATGTGAATTTTTAACTATAAAAACATGTCTTTTGGGAATATAGCACTTTGCACCAGTTTTCACATAAAACACAAGGTTTTTTTGAATCATAGTTGCACATTCTCAAAGCTAAATATCATAGATTAAAAGTTAAAATGTAACTTACATATTTAAGTAAAGCATCTCAATTTTTAAAAAGACATTTAACATTCCATTAGGAGAGACTGGATTTCCAAAATACATTTTCAATTATATTAGAATATTTTGAAGCAGTTATAACTAGCATTTTCAAACAGTTTGCTTTTAATATACTGCAAATTATACTTTATTTGCTCTTGACAACATTGTAGAAAACAAAGACTAGGTTTTTAAAACTGTCTAACCAATATGATGAATGTCAGTCACTTAAAAAAAAAAACCACTGTAGCATAAACACATACTGTATACAGCTTTTATTCAGAATTAGAATAATTGAATCAATGACAGTGATTTGCCAGGATGTCAAATCTCTCCATCATATCCTGTCACTACCAGTTTATTTTTTGTGATCAAAATCAAAAAGACAACTATTTTGTCACCCGCTATTTCATTAGTACTAAAAAATTGGGTTTATTCTTCTATTTTTTTTAGAATGTCTGGTTTATTTTTTTATCTCTTTTAATTCTAAAGACACAAATTCTTCCCCATTTTCTTTTCAAAATAAAGTTTCAGAATTGATCTGTCAGTTAAAATTAAAGGGCTTTTATATTAAGCAAGGGTGCTTTTAAGATTTAAAGCAACTTCAAAAAATCAATTTAGTCCATAGATAATAAATAATGTTATGCAGATATTCCACAAAAGCTTTGCTGTGTCCTTTGAATGCATCATGAACAAAGTGAATAAATTCAAATGAATATTTTAGTCAGTTATTATTTTAATAACGCTAACCTTTTTCTTACTGTGTTGTGATTCATTTTACACAAACACACAACAGAACAATTACATAGCATTTGACTCTGAAAAGGAAATATGAGGTCATCAGATATGTAAATCACTTGTCAAAATACTTAATAGGTCATTGATTTACCTCCCTGGTTACCATATCTAAAAAATTAATAGCCAATTACTAGTTAATATATGCTTTGCAAATAGGTATATAAGAATTAAATGTGCGTATTTGAACCCTTATTTTTAATATACAAGAAACTTTTCAAACTCAATAAAAGTCTATTTTGAATAATAAGAATACATGGGCTTTCCAAAAAATCAGGTCCAAGAGCTTTGATTTTCTGATTCACTGGAAAGGCTTTTAAAAATAAGCCACTAGAGAGAGATGTTTTTGTTTTTCTATGATAAAAGCCCACTCTAAAAATGTGTTTTCCTTCTTTCCTTAAACATTACTTTTTTCTTCACTACCCCAGTAACTTACTACATAAAAATATTGGTCTTGAAAAATTTGAATACCTTATAAAATAGATACTCTTAGGGATGTTTTTCAAATATGAACTTGACTCAAAGACATAAATACATAAGAATAATGCCAAATGTGGTATCTGAAATGTCCTTGAATCTTTTAAATGTTTCCAGTATATGAACTTCAAAACCCTGTATGGTGTTCATTTCTTACGCTAGATCTGCCTTTCTTTAACATGAGGTAAATATTTTGAATACTGCAGTCTGCTCAGGTACTGGGGTTCTAAGACCTTCTGAATTCTTTTTAGTAGCCACCAAACAATCCACTTTTCTCTTCTTCTCTTCCATTTATTCTTTATCTCCATCTCCAGGATCTTCAAATACTAACATTAAGCCAAATAAAAATACTTACAAAGGAAGGGTCTCTGCAATCAATTCCTTCTGTATCTTTTAATTTCAACAAATGAGACACATACATACACAAACAAAAAGGGAATGGGGAAACCCCATTTACGTGTTTCAGCCCACTATTATTGTCATTTCTGAGACATCGTGTTAGTGTTTTGCAAAGATTGTTACCATCAGTAGCATCGAAATTAAGTGATACTAACTCTAAGTAACTTTGAACTTTAAAACGGAGCAGTTTAGTCACCCAGGACCAAGGCAAAAAAAAAAAAAAAAAGATGAGAATAATATATATTTTGGGCTTGGTTAACCAAACATACAAAAAAATGGGGGAAGGGGGCTTTTCTTTTAAGGCCCAGAGCATAAAGAAATGAGCAGGAGCATATCAACACCATCCTAAGATGACATTGACATTCACAGAACAAAGCTAAATCTTAAAATGATACAGAGAAGATAATCTTAGGAAACCTAGTTATGATAAAAAGTAGGAAGAAATGTTATGTGAGCCATATCAAAAAGCTAGCAGCTTATTAATTAAGAGTTAAGAGGCACAACTTTGGGAGGAAAAAATACACTTGGAAATTTATTACAGTAAAAAGCACATTTCATCTGGAGATATTCAGCTCTAATTCTGTTCACCTGGTTTCCCTAAATCAAATTTGGAGAAAATTTATGGGTGTAGGTACTATTTTTACTGAGGACATCACAAATACACAGTCATTCTGGAAAATGGTATCAAGACATCCCTGCAGGTTTTCCATTGACAAATATATAAATATACATATCATTAAATAAATAAACAAAAATAAATTATTACAACAAATAAAAGGCCAACTCCCGGCACTGCAACCAGAGAGTGTCTTCAACCCTGTCCCTGAGAGCGCCTGGAGCTCCATTCAGAAGGAGAACTCATCTCCCTAGGGTGTGGGCAGAAGGCGAGGCAGCCGTTCCCATCCTGCTGGACCAGAGGGCTTCCGCAGCTGAACAGCCGCTTCTTCAGACTAAACCAGGCTGCGCCACTGTGCCCTGGCAATCCTGAACCTCAGAGGACATGTATACGTGCCCATGCGCACACATACAGACCCTCAGCTCCCATCACTCCCCTTATCCCGTCCCAGCATGCCACACCCAGTTCTCCAAAGTCCATGTTCTCTACATAACAGAGCCATCGGCCAGCACCAACTGCCTGACCCTGGCCCAAATCATGGCTAGTTGGAAACAGTCCCTTCTTGCAGAGAAGATGTAAGCCAACCAACAGCTGCTGCAACACGCAATCATATAACCCTTCTCTGACAGTTCCCTTAGCACACATCCCTCAGGGAATAGAGACTGCAAAATGTCAGGAGGTAGAAATGTCTGCTCTGGCTATAGTACCAACAGTGCAGAAGTGCCAGCATGCAGTGCAGCCTCACACTGAGTAAAACTACATGCACACATACAAAAACTGCAATCAAGTTAGGAAGGTGTCTCTAAATGTGAAGCAACTCTGGAGGAATAAAGTTATTCATCTATAGCATGCCAGACAGATGAATCTTAATTATCTGTTCACAAACAATTCTTTAGCTAGAAAACAGTAGATGTTGAACTAGAAGGTTATGTTTAAATCCTCCAAATAATTTCTATATTTTTGAACATTTGCCTTTGGGGATTAAAAAAAAAAAAAAAAAAGAGTGCAGTTCAGAGGAATCCTGGCTCTTTTTCCCCAGAGGTTTTTGCATGTGCGAGCATTTTAATCCAAACTACCAGAACCCCCAGTCTTTTTACTGAAGCTTGCAGAAGAAAACTTATCTATATTGATTTATATGTTGCCTAGAACAGAAAGAAATAACAGTCTCAGACAGGCCTTTTTTACCCAACAAAGGCTTATTTTTTTTCCATCCTTTGCTTGGGCTCAAGCACTCCTGCCCTGCGTGCCGCCACTTTAAACATGATCAGATCTGTGCTTCATTGCAAATAACAACTGACCAACAATGGGCCCTGCTTCATAGATTTGGGAATGTTTGGCTTAAGCTGCCAATGACTGAAGGCCTTTAACTCCCACCGGCCAGTCACAGTCCGCTTTGTTGTCGTCTGTTGATGTGTCTGTGCTCATTATTCCTTGACATGCAACATCCCCCCCTCCACCCTCCAACCATCCACTACCGCACAGAAAGCAAGATTCAAATGGGAACAGCTGTAGTGGTTCAATGGGAAATGATGCCTCTTGTGCAAAGGGGAGGGAGACAGAAAAGAGAGAGGCCCTATCTGAGAAAGGCAACAGCTTTCAGAGAGTCTTGTTTAAGAAATCTACTTTTGAATATACTTCAGTGAAATCATTGTTGAAACAGGCTGACAATAGAAATCTGCCCAGATTGAAAATGCCAGCCCTAATTCAAAACACAATTCCTAGTTGGTAGCTTCCTGCATTTTAAAGTTATTTTTAGACTTTGAAAGTTTTTGAATTAAATATCTAACTGGGAAGTATTACCATTTCATATATATGTTGTGGGTGAACATGGGCACAGATCTACACATAGTTTTAATTGGAATGTTTTTTCTAACACATTTCTGATTGATGCTATCTGTGAGAATTATTTCTTCAAGGATCATCAGGATGTAAAAATAGGGTATGTACGAAAGTAACCGTTGGTATTAGAATGTTAATCTAACATGGAAACAAAATTTGTAACACCACACTATAAGGTTAAAAAGAAAATAGTATAATAAAGGAAATACAAAGGCTTTGGCATGGTTTTTACAATCAACAATGGTTAATTTTGATATGTAGTTGTGAACAACTTCAAAACACTTAAGTTTAAAACTCTTGCAAGCACTTTTAATTGATTAGGAATGAAATCTAGATGCACAAAATGATTGGACTGTGAACAGTAATACAACTATATCTAAGAACAATTAACTTTTGCTGGCCAAAAAAGAAACGTATGATTGCATGAAAATGTGTATAAAACATCTATAGAGTATTCTTGTCAAATATAAATGAAATTAACTTTATTATAGAAATCATTCTGAGGATTTCTAGGGAAGACAAATACTTACATTTTGACATAAAACAAATTGGATTATATCGAAGACACACTCTACCTTTTAGCTATCAACTTTTTTCTTCCTTGAATTTATATCTTACCCTTTTTTGCACATAAACTTTATCCGTTAACAACCTTTGGAAAACCAACAGATATTTCTTACATAAATCTAGTGCATGTTGTTCCAGGTTTAATTATATGCAAAGGAATGATACAAACTTGGAACATCAGTCCATAAACTATGAACAGATGGGTAGAAGTATTCGATATATCTTGATAAAACTCTTAAATTCGTGGCAAATCTGTTGACCATGGTTTCCTTTTTTTTTTTCTTTAAACAACTTCATGACCAACACAGATCAAACATCCATCCAGTCTACGTTGTTCTTTTTTTCATTATAACATACAAATGCCCATTTACAAATAATACACCAAAATGAATAAAAGTTTGGATACCAAAATGAAGATTTGTTCCAACTGATACTGTGCCTTCCATATGCAAAGGTCCTTGTTTCAAGTCCATTCCCCAGAAGTCCAAAACAGGACACAGTTGCAGAATGAAGTGCTTCTAACAGACATCTTTCTTTCTTTCCCGAATGTTCAACTGTTGTGTCCACATAGTCAGTGACTGAATTAACACAATTTCCTCTTTTTTTTTTTTTACTGTAATCTTGGCCAATATTGAGACATATCAGGTTCACTTCCAGGAACTTGAACTGGAACTGACACCCCAGGGGAAATGAGTCCTAGAAACGGATGAAAGAAATAGACATTGTGGCTATTCTCCAGACATAAGCATGCAGTATGAATTTATAGGGTTTTTTAGATCTCTACGACTTTCTAACATTTTTTACTGTATTTAAAATTAAAAACATATTTGAACAAACAAAAGCCATGCTTTCAGAAACTGGACAAGTTGTATACACATACTGAATCCTAGTCCCCCTAACCCAAAAGAAAAGAAAAAGATTCTACAGATACGTATGTATAGAACTTGACCTAGAAAAGCATCTCTGGAAGACTACTGTGGTACTTCCTAGTTGCAGTGGAAGGCACGGAGGAACTGGGAGATGCAGAAGTGATCCAGAAAGCACCCAGAGTGCAGCTCAGTGGGCCCTCACCATAACACCTTTGGCTAAAACCTGTCCTCAGAAAGCTGAAACTCTCAGGCCTTGTCTTCGTACACAACTCCTGTTTTTCAGGAAAGACTATGTTTTTGTCTATACAGTGTTAAGTTACTAACTAGCCTGACTAAATTTTCCTTTTGAGTCCACTTTCCCAGGAGACAAGGGTAGAGAAGAGTTGAACACACCCTGACACAAGCCAGGAGGTTCTTTTTAGGTAAACTGTGACTGCAGCACGGGGAGATCAGCTGTACAGGCCGCCGCTGCAGCCGGCAGAGGGCGGAGGCTGGCTCACCTGTTGAAGTGGTGCCCGAGGTGCCCATGGGCTGACTGTTCATGTGTGTCTGCATGTGAGGGGGTGTGTAGGTGTCATAACTCCGCCCGTTCACCGAAGGGCTGGTGGGCAGCATGCAGGAGTACGAAGAGGTCTGGCTGGGGACTGGGGGCTGAGAAGAGAAAGACAAACCCATGGTTACTGAGAAACCCAGTCACATTCCCAGGTTCCCTCCTCCCCAGGAACTCTGCCAAGAAGTCTGGTCATTGAAAATGCCTTCATGTAAACTTCCATATGAGAGATCCAAGGTTGGTTTTCCACTGGCCACAGCCAGAATAAAGCACCTGCTCATCAAACTTCTAGAGCACCATAAATGCAGACACCTGTCCAGCCAAGCAGTTGGCATTACCCATACAGTGATAGGACTTTTGTCCATGTTTGTCTTTTACCTCTGATGGCATCTTTAGAGAACCCACAGCATGAGGACTTCCACTAAAGCACATCCTTTCTTCCTGCCAGTCTATATCTATTGGGGAACTCTGTGAACCCCCAAATTCCACATCCCAAGCTTTGGGGCAGAGAGCAGAGGGAGAAACTCCCAGCAAAGTCTGTCATAGGGACGTTGGGAACCTTCCACAGCTAGACTCCTGGGATTCAATAGTCTTTGAAGAAGCAGATTCAGGATGACCTCGGGTTAAAGCAGTCAGAAGTGTCAGGTAAGTATAACACATCCCCATCCTGAAAATTAACTGTGACTTCCTAATGAATCCAAGAGCCTTGATTGAGTTGTATCCAAAGTGTGTTGCTACCCTCCCAAATGGTAGTGTTGAGGAGCTAGCCCTTTCTCCTAACTAAGAAATATGCAGAGTTGGAACAAGACCCCTCTTGAGCTTTGCGGGGGCAATTCCAGGACAGCAAAGTTGGGATAAATTAATAGAAGCATTATGTCAGCAACAAGAGAGATGATAGAACTATTCTGCTCTGCAAACAGAAGCGCTGCTGAACATTCCATGCCACATTCTCAGAGAGGGTGACACAACAGAGAAATTTCAGAGGAAAATACCCGCCCTCTGCAAAATGGCTGAGGATTTTGGTCAATGAGATGAACATCTATTCATCTGACAGAACTAGACTGGCCACCCCCCACACACACACACACACATACACATGCTCCAAAATTCAAAAAACAGTCTTGTCTAAACAGTAAAATTATTGATAATTTCTATTTTCTTTATGCTTCATAAATGCATGATTTTTAAAAGTCAATGTTTGAAATAAATTGACCCCATGTTAGTCTGTATGAGGGAACAACCCTAATGTAACAACACTATCTATTTAATAGTTTCTAATTGCTTTCTCATATACACATTTTGTTATCTTCACAGAAACCTGGATGTTGCTACAATATATAAAACCGAACCAGACACTCTGTGGCCTTATTAAAGTCAGATGATGACTGCTAACATCAAGTTCAAAGAGGCAAACAGGCCTTGAGGGCCCTGCCAGAATTTCATCTTGCATTTGTTTCTAATTCCTACAATCACTTCCCTTAGGCAACCTGACTTCTGGAAAATTCCAAGGCAGTTAAAGCAACACCAACTAATGGGCTGTTAATCCCTTAATTTACATCAATTGCACTATGGCCAATAATATCCAGATGCAATAAAAATAAACATGTGAATAATTCCTCTGAAGTTGCTTATCTAGCTGCTCCTCTATTAGTCTGAAGACTGTCAGACATTTAGTTGTTGTTATTTGGATTTGAAATCCGGCAAAAGATGTTCAGTGGAGAATAAACAATCTGTATAACCCCAGAACTGTTTCCAGCAGGGGCTCTTGCTGGCCAATCTCACACCATCAGGCATCTCTAATTGTTGCACAAACAAGACCTCGGAAAGCCGCTGTAGAAGGCCCACCAGAAGACAGATTTGTTTTATTCCTCCCATCAAAAATCCATCCAGCAACAAAGGTCTAGTACACCTCACTTGCCTTATACAACTTAGATTAGAAAGATCTAACCTTGTAGAGGGCCTAGCAATATAGGGACTGGTAAATACTTGGGACAGAATCAACAATGGGAGTGGGTTATTATACCACATGAATTGCATCAAGCTTTCCAAGCAGCTAGGAGTGCCACAAACTTGTCACAAAATTAACAGCCAAGACACACACCATCTTCAGCAAATGCTTCCTATTATGTTTTTATTTGTAAGATGTAGAAAGAAAACTAACTTTTCCACCATATGAAGTCTATCTCACTGTGTAAATGTGAATCCCATTTCTAATCCATTTTTTTCTTCCTAACTAGTTTATCACATATACCCTACATCATGTCCAAAATGCATATACACATACCATGTTTATTAATATGAGCACATTAGTATAAACCCAAATTTTATGAATATTAGCCCCTTACTATTTCATAATATTTCAGTATTATGCAGGTTTCACAGGCACCCAAACATGCCTCACTACCACCCAACATTATCAAGCCAACATGATGTTAAAAGGCAGATTAACTTGACTGAACAGGTCAGGCGTTTTGCTTGTGTTTTTTAAAGGCATGAATCAATCAATCAATCAATCAACTAAAAGAGATTGGATTGACTGTCTCAGACTTGACTGGTCAAGCTGATGACTGTCATGAGAAAGGCTCCCAAGGGTGCAGACAGCTGATGAGGTAGCAAGCCTTAACCCATTCCCAACCTCTGCTGGGCCCCTTAAAGAAAGCAGCCAGCCTCACTTACTTGCATAGGCAGGTTGTTTGCCATGGTGAAGCTGGGCATGGGTGGCAGAGCGCTGTACGTGTTGGTGAGGGCAGTGTCTGTTCGGCCCAACATAGAGCCAGATGTGAAGGAGGAAACTGCAGGGAGAGAGAAACAGCAGATCACCCTGGTGAGAGCCAGAGCCCACAGTAAACAGGATCAGATACATTTTTGGAGCTTTAGTATTTCAAGTTACCAGGTGTGGTGGGTTGTGGAATTGGTTGGTAGACACTGGTGCTGAAACTACTGCTGATGGGAATATGACTAGGGGTGTTGCTGGCCTGTCTTCTCTGATTCCTCAGTTTTTCCTCTCTTCTCCATTTGGCCCGTCGATTAGAAAACCATACCTGGACATGGGATGGAGCAGGTTAGCCCAGTGCCTGCTCCCAGCCCAACCCCATGGTTGGCACCTCCACAACCACCCTTCCCCAACCACATGGCAGCAGACTGCACCTGTGACTATTTACATAAATTAATGGCACTCCTGTGAAGCATCTTTGTCTCCAGAAAAAGTATATGGGATGAATCACAAACTATGAAACCACATAGTTGCTGGGTACCTGTATTCTTGCTTCAGGTAGATCTATTTTGGCTGCTAGTCTTTCCCGGGCAAACACATCTGGATAATGGGTTCTCTCAAACTCTGAAAGAGTAAGTTGATTTTATATGTTGTGCCAGAACTACACAAAACATGTGAACCAAGCCTGGGATCAAGCTGATTCCTGCCTCCCCACTCCTGTCACCTCTAACCAATTTCTTTTGCCTATTTGTGTTGACTGGACTTGGAAGGACTTTCCCACCAGAACTAAGTTAAATTTTCTCTGTAAAGCTATTCAATGAAAAAAAAAAAAAAGATATTCAATGACCTTTCTGTGTCTGAAATAGCCAAATCATCATTTTTCCTTTATAAGTCAGTCTTTTAGTCTTTAGATTATTTGTAGATGAAAAGAAGAAAGAAAACACACACATGCACATGCAAGTGCGCGCGCACACACACACACACACACACACACACACTGAAAATATGCCCAGAGGAAGAAAAAAAAGACAGAAAGAAAAAAGAAACCTTTTCAGTCCTCTATGCAAAGGGCCCTGGCTAAATTTAGCTCTTTGTACTGAAGATGTGGCATTTACTTTGATTTACTGTTTCTCTACTTTGAAAAATCCCTTCACCTTTCTCCAGGGCCTCAATCTGCTCTTGGGTAAAGGATGTTCTATTTCTTTGCAGCTTCCGCTTCAGCTGAAGTCGCATTTGAGCCTCATCTGAATCTTCTCCATTGGAACTGATGGAGTTGGTATTCTCTCCCCCTCCTTCCTGTTGCTGGCAGCCATCTGGAACAAAAAGAATAGGAAGAGAAGAAAAATTTGGAGCTTCCAAAAGGGGTCTGCAGCATTGATAGCACAGTGGTGGACACAGCTACCTTCCAAAAGGGGCCCCGATATACAGTCAGAAACTCCAAGAGCAGTGTATTCTGACAGTCCCCACAAAACATTTCTAAGCTGTCAGGCTTCTTTTAATGAATTACCTGAACAACACTGATTACCTGACTACTATTTCCTTTCTCTCTGTTTTTACCAAGCTGAGACTAGACAATATACAAGCTAAACAGCAGTTCTTTGAATGATAAAATGAGTACTAAAGTTTCCAATCAAAATGATCTTTCATAAATAACCCTTCTCCCCAAATGTCTCACCCAGCTCCTTTGCCTACAGAATGTATTTACCTATGGCTGTGTTGGGAAAATAGAAGAGTGATGTTCAAGATTTCAGCTGATCTATAATCAGTAATTCCTATCTAATCAATTAGATGTTGATAGGTTTGTAGAAAATGCTATTAAGAAACCAAACCAAGCTTGTAATCTTTTTAAAAAAATATTTATCTAGTTTTTATTTGAATTCTGCACAGTCAATTTCATTTTAAAGGTTGTGAATTTAGAAGTGCTCGCATTGTTCTGCAGTTTTATTCAACTATTGTATGAGTGCGCTTCGCCTTGACACCTATTACGAGCACAGCTGTAATTATATCATCACCAAGAACAGGCTATAATTGCTGAAAATGGAATTTTATATTTAGATAAAAGGACTGTCCATTCTTTGTAATGTGTTGCACCAGAGAAAAGTAAGATTTCTTTTAAATTTTTAACGTGTAATTTTAAAAAAGAAATAGTAGCGAGTTCACTAACTAGCTAAATATGCTATGCTGCAGCTGAAACCTTGGCATATCATTTAAGTGGTACATTTTTAATTAGGGCATTTCCACCACTTTTAATGTAATTTCTATCATTAAACAGGGGAAAGTTTTATTGTTTTCCCTTGCTGCTTGGATGGTGAGATGTGCACTTGGGCTAGCTGTCTCTGTCTTGCACCTTGCCTATGAGGTCACATCCTGTGCAAAGGGAGGGACTCAGGCCCTGGTTGGGCCTCTGGGGCCATTGTAGGCTAGGTCCTCGATCTTGATTCCTGAGGACCCTGGGGGATACTAATAGGGGCTGCCAGCTCCTGATCCTAGAAACTTGGCCAGTTGCAGGGGTGGGCGGGGTGGGAGGCCTTGGTGGGAATCGACTTGGCCAGGAATATCATTTATAACCTGGAGACAATAGGCAGTGCCTTCAAAGAGTTCAGGGAATTGTGACAGGATCTAGTGGGATCTTTTCAGGAACTTTGAAATGTTTTAAAACCCCAACTTTCTCCCCCATTTAAACAGGCGGATTCATCGGCACTGGCCACCATATGGGCCCTTGGAGATCTATTGAGATGACCACCAACACTTGAATAGCGAGGGGCTGCTTTTCAGCGCCACACAATGCCCCGTGAGTAAGGGAAACTATTAAACTCCTGGGGCAGGAGCGTTGGCAAACTTTCGTGGGCAGAATTTTGAGGCCACAATGAGCACGGACAACAAAAGGATTCTCTTGAGGCGTGCAGCGGGCCACATTGTGTTACAAGAAGCCCAGTCAACAGACTTTTCAGCGAAGTGTGTTAACCCCTCTGCTCTGCTATCATTAATCACTGTCCGAAGAACGGGCGCCTCGGTGCTATTTAGGGAGCTTGGCTGGGGGGATGGAGGGTGGATGGGGGGCCAGGGCAGGGAATGGAGAGAGGTAGGGAGGGTGGCTGCGGACCACAGCCGAATGGGGGGGGGGGGGGGGGGGGAAGGCGGAGGAGGAAGACCAGAGGGCGGGGTGAGAGAGGGAACTGGAGGGTGGGGAGGAATAGAGGGAGATGGAGGGAGAAAGGGCTCCAAAGAAATGAGCCCAGAAAAGTATAAGAAGAAAGGTCAGAAAAGAATGCTGAGAGGGAAAACAGACAAGACAGGGAGAAAGGGAGGAAAAGGAAGATAATGGAGGGAGACTGTATTAGTAAACAATGCGAGGCTCTCGCGCCCAAGTGTCTGAGAGTTTTCGAAGCGCTTTTCAGGAGAAGTGAAGAGCGCCCCCAGCCCCGCCGCCATTATTTTTGGGTTCGCTGAACCAGGAAGACTAGAAACAGCCCTTTCTGACCAACTAGACAGGCCCCTCGGTGGAGGCCCCACCCTAGTCCCTTTTCCAGCACATTAGATCTTGCCAATTAAACAAAGCTGCCAGGGTCTCCCTCAGAAGACCCCTGCAGATAGCGTGCTCTGCTTCACTCTGCTTCTGTGACATCCTCCTGATTTTTAAAGCATGGAACTTGATATTCACATTCATTCATTCTCACATTCATTCATTCTCATTCATATTAATATTCTCTCTCTCTCTCTCTCTCTCTCTCTCTCTCTCTCTCTCTCTCTCTCTCTCTCTCTCTCTCTCTCTCTCCTTCCGGGGCTCACACACTCTTACACTTGCAGGGCCCCTCTTTCGCTGATATGTGCCTACAGCCTGACCTCTAAGGGGAGAAGTCAACCGGGTTAGGGGAACTCGATTTTGAACCTTAAAAAGGAAAAAGAGAAAAGAAAAAAAAAAGTGGAATTAGAAGCCAGCCAGGGGAAAGCCAGGGCTGCAAGATTCCTCCGTGAAGGCGCAGATGGAGCTTTTGCTACTTTAAAAGTAGCAACTCTTATAGTCCAGCAGTGACAAAGTGGTCACTCAGATTGGGAGCCTTTTTTTTTTTTTTCCATTTAGTGGATTTACTTTTACCCTTAAACCTTTTAACAAAATAAAGCTAGAAGTTGGATTTTGAATTTCCCACATGATAGACGTAAGTGGCGGACAATTAAGATATCTTCTTTAAAAGGAGCCCCCTCGGAGCCGCGCAAAGAAGGGGCCTTCAATGGGCGCCGTCCACCTTCCAGCCTAATCCGTGAGAAGGCGAGTGAAAGCGCCTCCCATTATCCCAGCCCCAGGACCATCTGACGCTGGGGATAGGATTTGTTTCCTGGAAGAAGGAGAGGGGGGTGGGAGACGCTGGGAAATAAAATCATTCCTTAGTTTCTTAGTGTCTTAATCAGTGAGGCGGAAAACAAGCAAGAAAAGATAGCAACCCGGTTGCGGCACCTTTTCAGCTCTGGAGCGCGGATCAAAACATTGTAGCATCTGTTGAAAGAGAGACTGACTAAATCCTATAGAGGGCTTGGGTATTGGGGAGGGGGGGTGAGGGGAGGAGATAAGACACTGTCTCCGTGATCCCTAAAACCACCAAATCGCTGGAGAATTGGGTCTGGATAGAGTTGTATCTTGTTGTTGTCAGCCCACATCGTCACGATTTTATTCACAGCCGCATGGCGTTGATCAGATGGAAACCATATTTGTCTCCCTCTGAGACCTAACCTCGCCTTATGCTTTTGGAGTAATGGACTCTTTTAAACCCAAGAACAGCTTCCCGGACTGGGAAAGGGGACCAGGGAAGGAGGGGGGCCCTCTTAGCGCCAAAAGGCGGGAGGATTTCCCTGGGAATGTGAGCAGAAGCTCGCCACCCGTGCCCGGCCCCCCCCCCCCCCGCATCCACAATACGGTGAAGCTCGGTTCGCACCACGCGTCCTCCCCACTGAGCCGGGACCGTGGCAGGTAGCCTAGGAGAAAATGCACGAGCGGGTTGGTTTTGGGGGGGTGTTTTTTTTTTTCTTTCTTTCTTTCTTTTTTTAGAAGTGGGTTGGGGTTGGCAGTTGACAACCCGGAATTCTCTAGCAACTAGACGCCTAAAAGTTAAAGAACTCCTGAACTATCGCCACCTCCAATCCAAGCGTCACTACCAGGCCCTGGTAGTTAGGTTCTCACTTCCTGCCCTACTACTGGGACGAAAATCTGCCTAATCAGGCACCTCTATGGAAGCTGCTGCCCTTGGCTTCTGTCTGGGAGAGGGGCTCATTCCATGTGCCCCAAGTAAACACGATCCCTCATGCTAGGCCAGAGTGGAGGTTTGAGGCTCTGCCCTTCCAGGCCTGGGCCCCTGGGCCAGGCGCCCTCCCAAGACATCTTGGACCAAGTCTGCCAGAATCTAGGCGAGGGAGGGGCCAGAAGGACTTCAGATTACTGGGGAGAGAGGGGTGGACCGTAGGGAGAGTGCAGAGCATTGCTTGGGTGTGTCCAGTGTGTGCACGTGGGAATCCTACAGTTCCAAAGGTCAGGCAGGGGTGGGGTTGTCTACACTCAGCCAGGTCACTGGCTAGTCTCACTAGAGGCAGGAGGGGGCCTGGACCAGAGTGCGTGCTGCACTCCCGGAGACCAAGGGTTCGAGGCCCATGCGGGAGGGGTCCCCCAAGGGAGCCAGGCCCCGCGCGTCAGGAGGCCAAGCGACCGCGCTGGGAAACAAGAAGCGAGCGCTTTGCTCCCTATCTTCCCAGTGTCCGTCCTATATTGTTTTCTGCTCTTAAAACTGACATGTCTAATTGGCAATTGGTGCCGAATCGTGTCCAGAGGTCTCTTGTGGAACATTTCTACAGCTGTCTCCTTCAACTAGACGCTTATTCATGTCGCCTTAATGAGAAACAAAACGTTCTCTAATGAGCAATTACAGAGCGACAGGATTGTTCCCATAACAAATTCTTGCGAGTGACAGAAGCATCCTTTGTACCAGATATTTCGCATACTGTTACCGATTTTCCCTTCCCTAGCCCGGCTCGGAAGAGACACAGGGCACCCGAAGCTCGTCCGAGAGTGCACGGACGCGCGGGCAACCCAGTCTCGGTCCCTGCGCGACCGCCCCTGGCCCTGAGCCCCCAGGCTCCGTTGTGCTCCCGGGAGTGAGACGCCACGTCCCATTATCCTGCATATTATCTCCTTGTCACAAGGACAACAAATACCGATTAATCTTCGGAGTAAACTGTTTCCTAGTCTTGACCAAACTACCTCGGTGTGTGGGGGGAAGAGGAAAGCCAGCCGACCCCCTTTCCCACCCGCCCCTCTTCCTTCATCGGTTCTCACAGATCCTGGAACGTTCCAGCTCCCACCTCTCCTCCCAATCCAGGAGGCACTCCGGGAGCCCTGAAGTCTTCTCACCCCACCACTTGTAAACAATCGCCACCCACAGAGTGAGAACTGGGGGCCCAAATGGGTGAAGAGGGGAAGAGCAAGAAGTGTGGCTTGTTTTAACTGGGAGACCACCATTGCCTATGCCTGTCCTCTCTTCCTCGACGGGGCCCAGCATCTCCCTGCTCACCTTATTATATGCACCTTACTCATAGTCACATAATTTGTCAATTGCAGTAAAAAACAAAATGATACAACTATTTACCTCACAGTCTGTCGGTGTGTTAACTTGTCACACTTTTACAGCAAGGGGGCTTCCTGTGCATTTTAATGTCAAATTTGAATAGGACACAGTGCCTTGAGCTTACACGCACACACATACTCCTACCCACAAGGACACCCGCGTGTGCTTGCACACACACACACACACACACACACGTGCGCGCGCGCGCGCGCGCACCAACTTCATACTACTCTTGACATACATAACCTCATATTCTCAGGCCAACAAGATGGTTCAACAAACACCACCTACATACAATACAATTTGATATGTCCCAGACCTTGGAATCCAGTTTTCCACTGCATTCCTCAAACACAGAAGCCCAGAGGAGGAAAAGGTTGGGGGAGAAGAGGATGGGCAAGAAGGGGTTGCACTTGTGGAGTTTGGAGAATGGTTACTTGGGTTTTACCTTGCGTAGGTTGCCCTGGCACCGAAGTCCCAGGATACCAACCCGGGCGGGTGCCCCAGCTTCCGGTCTGCCCATTCAACATCCTTAGTTTATCATACATGCCGTCTGCGCCCATCTGTTGCTTTTCGCTAGCCAGGTTGCGAAGAACTCTGTTTATTGATGATACCTGCAAATCAAAGCAAAATCAAACCAAATTGTAGGGTCTCTTGAAGACACAGTCACCCTGTCTTAAGTACCATCTCAGTTCTCCCATAGTTTTAAACAATAACCCTAAACACATTAAAAAGCTCTCAGCCTCTCTACCATAGTGAGCGAATTTACACCTACATCTGGTAAAGATGAATAGCCATCATTTTGGTTATGGAAATTGAGTTTGGTTGAGAGTTGGGGGACTTGGGGAGTAGAAGCCTTCACCTTAGCCAGGTGTCTCTGATATCCTAATTCATACAATTACTTTGTTTTGTTTAAAGACTTCCCAGTGAAAGGTTTAGACTTTGTTGGAGATTTCTTTCATTTTATTGGTTTTATATTGGAGCAGAAATGGATGTATAACATCTGAAAGAGGGTTCAGGCAGGTGTGTGTGGAGGAAATTAGAATCTGTTTTTTGTTTTCCTTGTTGATTCAAGTGCCCTTCCCCAGCGCCTCTACCCTAGGGTTTACAGCATGCAAATGAAGTGAACAACTCCTCACACTTGACTCCCATTTTCCAGACAGTCAAAAAAAGAAAAAAGAAAAAAAGGGCACTCCACTTAATATCCCCAGGTACAGAGGAGATGTGTGTCAATCAGGGAAGAGACATTGAAAGAGAGACACTGGGAGGGAAGGGAGTGAGAAAAAGTAAAGATCGAGATGCCAAAGAGGAGAGTGTGGAGCTTAGGGCAGGTAAGATAAATGTTCTCATTGAACTTACACTTGGTATGTTATCGTTGGTACAGACCCCCTCGGACAATAATCTGTCTCGGATTTCCCAAGCAAAGATGGACGGGCACTCCCGCTTATACTGGGCTATTTTGCTTACAACTTCTGGAGTCGCTACTCTCGGTTTACTACCACCGATTGCCCTGGGTCTGATGGAGCCAGTCTCGTAATACCTGCCCAGAATTTTACTCACACATCCGTTGGATACCTGCATAGGGGAAGTGGACAGAAAACCACATTATTAATAATTTCAAGACAAAAATAAAATTGTTTAAGTATGCATTAAACAATGACAAGCTTACGTTTTGATTGTCCAGCACTTGGACTTTTGCATCTGCATGGGTCTATAACACAAAAATATACCTTCAATGGTACGAGAACTTACTGTAGAGAGCTTTTTTTCTTAAAATTACATTTGTAGCCCTAAAAACTACAAATATGATGATACTTGCAAACATTTTGAACTCATTTTTAATTTTAAAAAAACCTGTTTTCCTAAACACTGCCTGAAGATGCATCAAAACGGAAGTCAAATTGCTTTTTTTGTGTGTGTGCTGATCTTGCTTTAAAAGTGGTTTTTATGTTTTAAAGAGCAAAAGGGAAAATGAGCAGAATTTTTACTTTTTTTTCCCTTGAAAATTTGCTCAACTGAGCAAATGTGAGTTAAGGAGGGGTAAATGGCATTTGTCATTTAAATCTATATATTCTTCATAAGCATGAAGAATGCAATCAAATATCTTAAAGCCCCAGGTAAGCATGGGATGGGGAGAGGGGGATGAAATTATGCCAGTTTATGTAACTCAGCTCATTACAGTTCATAAACTGTTACCACAATAAATGTCCTCACCAAATGATAAGAGTTTTAAAAAAAAAAAATCACACGCAATTTTTTTCTTAAGCAGATGGATTAACTTATGTAACTGACTCAGGTTGAAAGAGATAGGGAAGGATGGTGGAAGGAGAGGGGAAAGAGGGAAGGTAGGGGAGTGGGGTGGGGACTGGGGTGGGTGAGGGTGGGGTTCCATAATTAGCAGTGTTTACAGTAAGAAATGAAGAAAGGGCGCTGAGAGTGGAGGGCCGCGGGGGCGGCTAGTGGGGCGGCGCCGGGAGGATCACCTGCAGAATTCGGGAAATGTCGCACGGCCGGGCCCCGCTGTGAGCTAGCTCTACGATCTTCTGCCGGGTGGAGTCCGGCAGTGGCCGCCCGTTGACAAAGACACCACCGAGCTGATTCACTCCGCTGTGACCTGAAGAAAGGGAGAGGAGTGGAGAGGAAAAGAAAGGAGAGGAGAGAAAAGAGGAGACGAGGAGGAAGGGCAGGAAGGAGAAGAAAAAGGAGTGGGGAGAGGAAGAGAGAAGAAGGAGGAAAGAGGAAGGAATGAGGGAAGGAAGGAGGGAAGGGAGGAAGGAAGAAAGGAAGGAAGGAAGGAAAGAAGAAGAAGACGACAACCACAATGCATCCTCAGTTCCCTGCCAAACCATGCCAATCTCAGATGTCAGGTCCTTGATAGTCATCAAAGCAAACCACCAACAACAGGACCACCAGCCATGCAGGACAGTAGGCAGGCCAGTCCAAAATACAATCTATTCCTTCCCACGGGATTGCTGAAGGACCAGACACATATCAACGGACAAGAACACATGTACCCCACTACCGACCCCATCCCATCAACACTCCCAGCCCACTGCCCCACTTGATAAACACTTCAGCCAGCCTCTGAACCCACAAGGAGCAAACAGCTAGCTCTAAAAATCTCCTCCCAAAGATTTCCTCTGAGTGTCATCACAAACCGTGGATTCTACAGAGCCTAGACTGAACCTCCAAGGTCTCTGCAGTGTTGGAACAGGGATCCTTAACAGCACTGCAGCGCTCCCAGAAACGTTTGCGTCACGATCTAAACTCTGGCGAAGGCGCGGCACAGCACCGGGGTTTGTATTGTATTGTTTTGTTTTGTTTTAATAGATGGGAAAGGAGAGGAGTGGAGAAAAACCAGAGCGACAAATCTGTGGCTAGTGAACCCCAATCTAGGTCTCCACGCCTCCACACCAGGCAAGAGGGTCAGAATCCCTGCTTGGCTCCAAGCAGAGTGGTCCACCTGCCGCAAGTGGGGCCGAGAGCCCTCAGTCTTCGCACCCGCTACTGCTCGCTTTCCTTCAGCTGCTGGACTCCGCCCTCCCCTCAGCCGAGAAAACATATTAGCAAAAAATGAAAAACAGAAAAGGAAAAAGACCACATCAGTGTCCCCCAACCTTCCTTTATCTTGTATCTCACAACCTCATCCCATTGTCTGATCTTAGAGAATGGGGGGAGGAAGAGAGCACCTTTTCTGTAGCCCTCTCCTCAGACACCACAGACTCGCAAATAAAAGCCAAACCCCAATTTCCACTTCCTTAAAAATCTCCAACCTGCAGCCCCGACTCTAGAGTGCAGCCCTCCCAGGAGAAGATGTGGCTCCCTGCTCGGCTCTTCTCTTCTCTCTTCTCTCTTCTCCTTGGAGCTTCCTGATAAATTGACTCCAGGAGCCTGAGCTTCTTAGCAATAAATAAGCTCCAAATATAGAAGAGGGGGGAAAATATGATGAGCCTCTCTGACATTTGTCTTTAAAATAAAACTAGCTGCACGTCAAGTTTGAGCTTAATTTCTGGAAATAGGCGGAAGTCGCTCCGGATCATGCATGGAAGGCTAATTGAAAAGATCAGTCGGGGCGCTTGTGGCAGCCTTGTCACTTTGTGACAGTGCTCCGCTCCGGGAAATTGCATCGTCACGACAAACGGGACCGTGATAAAACGACCCTTTCCGTCCCTATTTGTAGATCACTCAGACGAGATTGAACTGCACTCATTTCCCCTTCGAGGGGAGCCGCGTTTTCAGGATAGCCCAAGGCTCGGGGCTGGGGGGGGGGTGGTCACTGAGGGGGGGTTGGAGCCTCAACTCTATGAGAAGTGACAGGCGTTTGGGAGATCTAGGTTCCGGCCGGGGCAAGCGCAGGCCGGGACATTGATGGGACACAGCTTCTCCAACAAGGCCTAGCCTGTGCTTCCGGTTTCCACTAAATTCCCTTTATTGCCTTCCTTTGCTTCCCAACTCCTGTCTACCGCTCCAGCTGCTGAGGCCCACCTCTGGGCAAAAGGAGCCTTTATGTAAAAAGAAAGGCTGTCCCCTCTAGAGAAACCAAGACTTCCCCAACTTCCTGCCTAGCCAGGCAATTCCCAGTCTACGAATGCCAATGCAGTGTGAGTTCGCCTAATCTCAGACCTCCCTCCTTCTCCCCCACTGCAAAAATAATGTGCCTGCCACCTCCGTAGCCACGGACGGCGGGTGCCGGCCCAGGAGACTCCAGGGCCCGGGCGCCTCTGCCAGCATCGAAATGGCAGCGAGGAAGCGTAGCTCTAAATTCCCCTTCAGAGGTTAAGCCTCAATCATTGTGTCCCTTCCCTAGGGACCGCTGGCGCTCTCGCCCAGTGGCGATGATTATGCGCCTAGAATTCGACCGCGAAGCATCTAATAAGAAAACATATGGTGTCAATTTGGATGCTCCGCGCCTTGCGCACACCCGGGAACTAGCAGCACAAAGCCCTGCGGGCCGTCCTGCGACCCCGCGCCCCTCGGAGCCCGCCGGCCTGGCCGCAGCGGCAAAAGCTCACGGCTTTGCGCCCGGGCCCACCCTAGAGCTTGAGGCTGGGGAATCTGAGCTCCAAGAGCAAATCTCCGCCACCTTTGTGCCCTTTGCTGAGCTTCGCGCCCAGCATCCCCTGCGGCACCAGGGGGCGACCAGCGCCTCCAGAAGAGATGGTTGAGGCACTGGGGAGCGTCTTAAGTCTTTGCGTTTAGACAGGGGCAGGTTGCTAGAAGACCTAGGCCTCCCACACTCCCAGTACAGTTGTATCCTTAAGCCATGTACTGATCCTAACCTCAACTGGGCCTAGCTTCACTGGGCCTCGAGGCCGCTAGGTCCTAGCTCTAAGATAGCCCGGCTGCACACCAGCACCTACCGACTAAGCAGGAAGGTGGGTGGGGCCCCAGGGGTCTGGCAAGGGAAAGAAAGGCAGGCACAAAAGCAGGGGACTGAAAGGCACTTCGGGCCTGAGAAGATCAAGACCCACGCAGTTGCCGCTGCCAGGGCAGGACTTCTCCAGTTACTGGGAGTAGCCTCTACCCTCTTTGCAGACCCAGTAAACCCTGCTCTTGCGGGCACCCTGTAACAGCTCCATGGTGCGGTTTACCACCTCCACCCTGCTTCAGGCCTGGGTGCTCGGCTCCCCTTCCCTTCTAGGCCCAGGCCTAGAAGAGGGGAGGAGCTGCACTGAGAGTGACTAGGGGAGGGAAGCCCCCCACCCCGCCCTGTCGGTGGAGACTTTCAGTCTTGGCTAAGCCTAAAGGGGCCTCCTTCTGGTCGCGCCACCGGGAGAAGCCTTCGCCCCGCCCTGTTCAGCCCAGCCCCTCTCTCTGGGGTCAGAGCCCGGGCAGGGGCGGGGAGGGGGGGTGAGTTACAGGATTTGGGGGGGATGGGGTTTCTCTACCTCAGCTTCGAAAACTCGGGCGGGCTGTTCTGAAGAGCCCAGCCCCTACTCTTCCAGGATCTAGAACAGCAGAGTGAACATCCTCCCCTCACGGGCTACCAGCGCAGGTCTCGGGCCTCTTCCCTCGGGCAGGCTGCCTGGCCAGCACTGGCGCCGCGAGCCTCTGCGCCCTCCCCTGACCCGCGGGTCCGCGCCTCCAGCCTGAAGTCCGCGAAGGACCTGAGGCACTTACTGTTCTGCATGCTGGCGCTGGCTGGGGGCCACGGGATCCCACGGGGCTCGAATATGGGGCTCTGTTAGCAAGAAAACAGGAGTTAATATTAGGCCGCTGCACCCAGGTAGGCCTGAACTCCCACCGAGGAAGACCTGGGGCCAGTACAGGGGAATACTCTTAAGAAATTGATCCACTCAACCGCTTGGGGCGATCTTAGGGTCATTTAGCTTTGCCCTCCAGTACATGCAAGATCTATCCTTTGGGCTTCGAATAAACTACTCCAATATATCCTATCCCCTATCCGTTCATCCCAGATTCTTCAGCTAACCCTCTAATCCGGAGAAACAGTGACCTGATTTTGAATTTTTTCTTCCATTTGAACTATATAGTGAAGAAGCATTCTGAAATAGTTTGACTCTAAGGTTTTGAAACCCAAAGCAGCATTGCAGAACTTGCCTGAAATCTGTGATGTCTGTCCACTCTTATAATAAAAGGCCTCACACATCTGCGCTCCCCTAGTTAAAGTCTTCCCCCTAAGACAAAACAGAGGGAGAGAAAGGCAGGTGAAACTGTGGCTCAAAAGCATAGGTAGATGGACTCTTTGAGTCCCGCTCTCAGGACAAAACAGTGCATCCAGAACTCAATCACTCTGCATTACATCCTTATTTCCAGTGGCTTCTCCCACAGAAATCCCTACACCTTGGGAAAGATTGCTCTGGCCTGGCTTGGGAAAATTGGAGAATCTAAGGAGTTGGGATCCCACTTTTGAAAAAATATCAAGAACCAGGAAAAGGCGGAGGGGAAACTAGAGGAACAGTGGAGAAAAGAGTAGAGCTGGGGAAGAAAGGTGACTACTACCTGAAGTTTGAAGGTAAAAAAAAAAAAAAGGGTGGGGGACCTCCAAGAACTTCCTGGGGCCTGAGGCCACAGGTTGGAATAGTTTGGAGGGCTGCAGGCAATAGGCCTTCCTTCTGTGAAGATTTTCACCACCTTAGCTGTCCCAAGACTCCTGTAGCCAATTCTGGTTACCCCTTTATCCTTCAGTTTCCTCAACATCTTGTTGGTCAGGGTCCCATTCTCCATCTATCTTGCAGTCCTCCTGGGACTTTGCAAGTGATAAGCCCAACTTTTTCTCCCAAACCTCACTTATTGTGATTAACTTCCCTTTTGGTGTTTAGATCTTCCCCCCTTTTACAGTACTGTGACACACGCTGTCTACCGCGCCTTACTGCTTTAAAAAGTACGAACAGGAGGGGGTGAGCGTGGTCGACAAAGCCTACAGACAGCGAACAATGGCTTCTATTCTCTGGCTCTCCCAAACCCAAAGAGCAAAACCGAGACTCCCTAACCAGCAACACAGCTTCCAACCAATCGTACCAACAACTCACCAACTCACAAAGGGAACAGAGGGACGCTTCTCTCACTTAACCCAATGTGGGTCTCCAAGACTTGCCCTCCACCATCCCTTCCCTACCTTTCCATAAGAAGAAGGTTCTTGGGATGGGGGCAGTGCAGAAAATAGAAAAGTAATTTCTTGTTATAAATATCTAGAGGTAATTGTGTTACTGGTGTGAGTTGTTAGGGGCTGTAAAAAGATACAACGGCACGGTGGGGTGCTCAATTGGGAAGGGAGAGTTACAATAAAGAGCCCATTCAAGAGGTTTGCAAAAAAAAAAAAGTAAAATAACAAAATAGTCACAGCATCATTTCTCTTCATTTAAAAAAATAATTCTTTTTCCTGCGATGATTATTAATTTTGCCTGCCTACAAAGAATTCCAAGAAGCACATTTTTCTCTTCAAGGCCATTTGTGGTATTTTAAAAAATCTAGTTGGGAGGCAGCTTAAATCCACAAAAACAAACCAAAGACGAGTAGTTTTTCTCAGCCTGGTAAATATTAGCCACAGAAGAGGGCTACTTAGTTACCCCTAGCTAGGCTGGCTCTTCAATGCCTCCCTCTTGTCTCATTCCCTGCATCCATAGTCATGCCCCAACAGGCAGAAACATCAACACTGACCAGAATCCCCCCTGCATCCCCCCAACACAAATGTGGGACTCAAGCTGCAAAAGGTAGCAGGTGGGAGAAAGGGAGTGAAATTTCCCATGGACTGGTAAAACTTGATGAACTTCTCTCTGTAACCCACACTGTACAGTCACAACTAAATGCCCCCATCCCAGCTGTTACCTTCTTGATACCATTTTGAGATTTTTTTCTAGCCGATCCCTGAAGGCCTAGCTGGTTAATTTTCGAAGCAGCTGGGAAGGTGATAGCATTTCAAGTTCCGGTTCTGCTCCATTCCCACCTTTCTCTCAGCTAAGAAGCTATCTAATTACTTAAGTAATCGTTAACACTTTGTGCAAAAGCAGCCAGGGGAACAGTGCACACAGACACCCGGAAGCAATAGTGTTCTCAGAAGCAAGAACCCCCCAGCTCCAACCCAAGCTCCCCAACCCAGGCTGGAGCTTTCTACAGCCTTAGCGAGGCCACAGACCCACATCCAGAATGAAGAATCTCCAGAAATCTCAGTCACCCAGGCCTTGGTCCACAAGGCCACTAGGCCACTGCCCCCCTCCCTGTCCCCAATATAAACTTCAGCTTTCAAATGGTGCTGTTGTTTTAATTACTTAATTCACAAAATCCATCCCCAAACTCCTTAGCTGGCCTTAAGGGGAGAACTCGCCCTGGATCCTCCCGCCCCCGGCCCCCAGCCAAAGAATAATTAGCAATTAGGATGACAAAGTTTTACTCTCTAGGGCCAAATAAGATAACAACTAATCAAATTGCCTTCCGACGTATGCAAAGGTCACCGGCTATAAAAATGTAATGTCAGCAGTAACAACTATTATTTCTCCTCGGTAAACTTGCCAGGCTTACAAGCACTTTGCTTTTCATTTCATTTTCTGCTTATACCCCCTTTTCAAACCTTCCCAAGTTCCAGTTAAACACCCAAAATGGCTTAGAGAGCTTGGGAGAGTATGAAGGAAAAAAGAAAGAAAGAAAGAAACCACGTTTCACTTTGTTTTTAAACTTTCTAGAAATCACTCATGATTGAAGGGCCAGGGTTTAGCACTCGAAAAAGAAAGCATTTCCACTTGAAATTCAACTCCATTTCCCCCAATTACACTTGCTAAAATTCAGGGCTATTATGGCGCAGGGAGACTGAGAAAATCTGCACAGGGAAAAGAGGCAACAACTTTATGAACTTTGAAAAGACACTTTTCTCCTGGGGTCTTAGAATCCAAAAACTCTCGAATTACTTAGACTAATTATCTAGGGAGAGTATGTGATCAGACTAGGGGGAAAGCTAATGCTTTAATATAGATTTTTTTTTCTGCCACACAAAGAAAAAACATCAGAATTTTAAATACAAAAAAAAAAAAAGCAAAAAAAGCAAACCACCTTTCCAGCTCAAAACTTGAAATGGTAACACGGTGCGCGGCTAGGTCAGAGGAAGACGAGGAAAAATACCCACCGAGCGTTGGGGGCCTGAGGATTGAAACACCCCAGCTTTCGCGGGGCGGGGGAGAGAGTTGGGGGAAGCCGGAGGAGCAGAGTTTTCAAGTCCGAGCTCCTCGCTCAAGTTAGGCTGGAGGAGAGAGCCCAGGGGCTTGATGGAAGCTGACAGTCCTCCAGCTAGGCTCTGTGCTCCATCGGAGCGCGCATCGGATCGCCTCGGCCTGGTGTCTTCCTTCCCGGTTCACGCTCGCTCGCGGTTTCTGCCTCCAGCGTGGGGCTGCCTCGCCGATTGACTCCGTTCCGCAGCGGCGGGCATGATGCCCCCTTGGCGCTGAAGTACCAAATGCTCTTCTGCGCCGGATCCCAGCGCAGCACAAAGCTGGAGGATCCGCAGAGCGGCTCAGCGAGCTGGCTCCCGCGGCGCTCCCTCCGCGCGCCCGCTCTCTGCGCACTTGCAGGGCCGCAGGCTGGACAAAGCAGCGGCGGCGGCTGTTCTTTGCGGTCCTTCCCGGGCCTTGGGTACCACAGATCCTCTTCGTCTTCTCCCGCAGCCCGGGATCGTTTGACTATACTGGGGCCGGGAGCCGCGTCTGCAGCCGCGCCTGGAGCCTCGATTCTTCCTGCTAGCTTAACCCGCGCTAGCGCTGGAGCTGAGCCGGCAGCCGGCCCCGAGCCCTGCGCCGCTCTGGCTCGCCAGCGGTCGCTCTCCGACGCGGGCTTTCGCTGGAAGTAGAAAGTTTGTGCTCCTGCGTGGAAACTTCTCTGGCCCAACTCTTCTGGCGTAGTGGTGGGGGAGGGGACCGGCAACCAGAGAGGGAGGCAGAGGGAGGCAGAGGGAGACCTGCCTGAACACTGAAATAAAAATAAAGCGAAAAGAAAGAAGCGGACTCACCTTTATGAGGCATCCTCTCTCCTTGTCAAAGATCCTGTCAAGAGTTTTGTTTGATTGGGTGTTTTTTTGTTTTTGGGTTTTTTTTTTTTCTGTTGCTTAAAGACCACAACGGTTTGAAATTACGGTGTTTAAAAGGAGTTTCTTGTGAGAGTTTTCTCCACGGACGCTGCTGGGTTGGTGTATGAGAGCAATTCTCAGATCCCTGGGAAGGAGACAGAGATTGACAATAAAATGGGCTGTCAGCGGCTGGAGAGTGAGAGATAAAGAGTGTGGGTGAGGGAAGTGGCTGCAGCCAGCACACCTATGCTGATTGGTGATGGCTCAAGTGTGTTAATGTGTGTGTGCCGGCGCCCGGCCTCGCCTCCACCGCTCCTCACTGGCCCATTAGCGAAGCCTGACCTCTGTCATCATCCTCCAGCAAAACACTTCCTCCTGCGCCTGAACCAGAGCGGGAAATGAGGCCGAGCCACGGTTCGCTTTTCAAACCCACTAATCACTCCGCAACATGCAAATGCACCGCTCGCTCCCACACAAAATATTGCTTTATGCAAAGCAGCGCCGGGGCCTCGCGCCAGCCGATTGGATGCTCCCTCTCCCCGCCTGGTGCAATTGGTCCGTTTGTTTGAATATGAATACACTTGTTTTCGGCTCCGCCGGTGGGTCCCGGCTCTTCTTCCCGGCGAAGGGCCCCCGCGCTGGGGCTCTGGAGCTCGCCGACATCTCCAGGCTCTGATCGCTCAGGCTGTCAGCACCGCCAGCACTGCGGCCGCGAACTTGAGCGATCGGGGGAAGGCCTTTGGGCTGGGAGTTGAGCCCCCTTACCCCCACCCCAAGAGGGGTTCAGGACTCCTAGCCCCTGGAGGGAGCAAGTTTCTGCAGCTCTGCGTCGTCCTTTCTGGCCAACTCCAGTGAACGGTGGCCTGCCGCCCCGCCCCCGTCCACCCTCCCCTCCCGCCCCTACCCCATCACAGCCTGGGCCCCAGGAAGCCGAGCACCACGCTGGCCTCTCCGTAGCCCACCTGGCCTCTAGGAAGAAGAGGAAAGGGAGGGGAGGCTTCCTGGGTCCTGGCAGTTTCACTACCGGCGGTGGAGGCGCGTCGAAGCCTAGGCCGGAAGGAGGCCGCCAGGCCGAAAACTCGGCGAGGCCGGCAGCCTCCCCAACCCAGGCCTCCTGGGCCTGCCCATTCCCCCACCCCTGCTTCCCCAGTCCTTTCTTCTCTTCTTTCTCCTTTCGGAAGCCGCGGTGCGCAGCGGAGCGGAGGCAGAGCCCGGGCTGGAGAGGCCCGAGTAAACAGGCCACTTACTTTGTGTACAGAGGATTCTTGTGAAAAGCCCTGAAGAGTCCTCACCAAACACTCACCAACTTCTCCCACGTGCCATTTGTTGACTAAGTGTGGCTGCTTTTCCAGGCTCCTGAGAGGAGGGGAAGCAAGGGGGAGATAAAAGGGGAGGGGGAGTGGTGGAAGCTCGGGGCGGGTGGGGGGATGACCAATGCTGTAAGAGATTCTGTTTGTGTGTGTGTGTGTGTGTGTGTGTGTCCCCTCCGGCGTTGTTGGTATGTCAGCGTGTGTCGGTGTGTGCTACCGATTGTGTGTGTGGTGCGGTATGTGTCCGCAAGACTCCTCTCCTTGGTCAGCTCAGTCCACGGAGACAGCTCTCCTTCAGCTGTTGCCAGAAAACCGGGGAGGAAAGTAAGTAAACGGTTTTTCTCTTCTGACCACACACCAAAAGTCTGTCTGTTGAATGCCCGATGATTAGGATACACCTCAGTACACTCCAAAGGCGTCCCTCGGAGCACGCAGTTTAGGTGACAGGGGAGCGATCAGGCTGCCTTGTCCTGCGCTGTCCTGAGCTGTCTTGGAGCGGGAGTGCCTTGGAGCCGGGAAGGAGAAGGCCTGAGATGCAGGACATACCCCAGGACTTGGCAAAGGGGTATGGAGTCGGAAAAGCGGAGGCAAGGAGGCTGAAAGGAAGCCGCCGCCGGGACACTTAACTCTTCCTGACTTCTGAAAAGTTCTGCAAGTGAGAGCTCATCAATAACTGCCTGCTCGAACCGAACTGACTGCTGACAGGCGGCGCCGCGGAAGCCCCGTGGGAGTCGAAACAGGCAGCAGTGGGCTGCCTTGGGCCGCTGGGCCTGGTGTGGGCCTGGCACTCTCCGTCCTGCCCAGAACCCAGCAAGTTGCTATCAGGAGCCTATGCAGAGTTCAGCCGGAGCGAGGGCCTTCCCCGCCCCAGCCCGAAATGGGTTCGTACAACCCGCTCACCTCCTCCGTCTGGGCTCAGCCCCTTTTGTGCGGCTCAGATCACTCAGCGCCAAGGGAAATCCAGGCCAGAGGCGAAGGAGGTGGCGCTGGGTACCGCTGCCTCCCTAAGAGATTTCGTAGGACCGCGACTTTCAGAGGATCCCTGGAATTTGGGCAGCGGTTTCGGGTCCCAGAGCAGCAAGAGTCTGCGTTCTCTTTCTTTCTCTTTTACTTCTCAAGTGAACTAAAGAAGCTTAAACTCAAAGCTACTAGGCTTGAGCGAGAAGGGGGAAAAAAGACCCAGTGACTCTGTCCGAACTGGAGGCGAATATCATTTTTACAACCTCTCAATTAGCGACCGAGTGGATTAGCACCTTCTTAAGCTTTGCCTCAGAAAGAAGCAGCCATAATCTTGTTGCTATTTCCCCCCAGGGCACTGGCTCTTTGAATCAGCTCCTTCTCCCACCCCTCAACCCCCACCTCACCTCGGAGAAAAGTTTTAACAAAAAATCAGAAGAGGCCAGGAGCCCGGAGTGAATGCCACTGACGTCATTGGGTGGGGATGGGGGCTCAGGGAAGGACTCCTGGAAACTCCTCTGCACAAACAAGAAACAAAAAGGACTTGGCCGCTTCCAATGTGTCAATATTTGGGGGTGGGGGAACTCAGCTCCGGAAGGAGGCAGAATTTCCAAAGTTTAAGGAGAGTGGGGTGAGAGCGAGATTTCCTCACTCTCTCGGGACAGGTCTCAAGGAGGGTGGGGGTGCTATTTTGCTCTTTGCAGATACTCACTCCCTCTGCCAAGTACCTGCTGCGGGGGCGACGTGGAGGGGGTGGAGTGGAGGTGCGGGGTGCCAGAGATGTCCACAAAATTGAGACAACTCGCAGGTCGCCATTTTAATTCAAGCTTCCAACAAGACCGAGGCCCACTTGCAGTCCTTTCAAGGCCGGGTGGGTAGGGTGGGGGAATTGCGCTTTAGGTTTCGGTGTCGCCTTTCTCCTCCACTCCCGCTTCTCTCACCGCCCCCCGCCCCTTGGAGAGGGAGGAGGACCTCTTTTCCGCCGGTCCACGGTTTCCCGCAGGGGCTGCTCCAGTTGTCCCACCCGGTAACAGGAGACTGTGCCGAGGGAGTCTGTGCCCACACTGGGGGATCGTGGCTAGCTGCGAGAGTGCCTCTCCTCAGTATTAGTCCCAGCCCTTTGCCTGTGTCCACCCCCATAAAGTTCCGGGTCCCGGGGCGTCCTCTGTCCAGGCAAAAAAGTGCCCAGCACTCTGGGGGATATATTTTCGGCTCCCAGTTTCGGAACAAGAATCTCCCACCCAGAGGTCGAAACCTTCAAACTCTTGCTCTCACGGAGCCAAGCTGACAGGCACGGTGCTGGCGCGCTGGAAATGGTAAAGCCTGGAATTTTTTGAAAGAAAGTCTCTACAAACATCTGCATCACTTTGCATAGTCTCTCTCTGCAGACTCTGGGAAAATGGGTCCCTTGGTCGGCGGAACTGACAAACCCGTCAAACGATCACCAAAGGCAAAGGCCTCTCACCCCAGCCTCCCCAGTCCGGGGTGCTTCCTTGTTTCAGGCCTTTCTCCTCTTTTCCCCAGCAACCTGCCGGGTTTCCACTCCCCCTGGCCAAGCCCACAGCTTAGGGAAGCCGAGGGGATCCCAGAGACCTCCCTGCGGAGCCTCCAAGCTGTGTCCACGCTTGGCTGAAGGAAGCTAGGTGCCCTGGTCCTTCCTGTCCTGCCAAAAGGTTGGTGCGTTAGGGGGCTCTCTGGGATCGGTCCTCTTTCCGTTTATACTGGTCGGCAAGTATCTTTCGGGTTCTCTCCGGGTCCCTGTCCCCCCTTTTAAAACAACATTGTCCAGCTGGGTGTCCCAGAAAAGAGATTTCTTAAAGTCCGTGGATCTGACTCCCAACACTGCCTTCCGGACTCTACATGTTGTTGTCTAAATAGGGACAGACTGAAGCTCATCAGATTTAGGGCCCTTGAAAACAGCAGCACTCTCGGATTCTTGGAATAGGGTTACCTAGGAAAGTCTGCTTTCCATTTCCTCACCTTGAGTGGATCCCTCAGCACTCCTTTCCCTGTTACCTCCCCCCGCCCCCCCCCAAAAAAAGCTAGAGTTCAGCTTCAAAAAGAAAAGCAAGCCAAGGTCTCTTCTCCCTAGAGATTTGCTCTCCAAACTCTCTTCCAAAGGCCAGACCAAGTCCTGTAATTTGCCCAATCTTGGATCTAGGAACCTGCCGACCAGGAACTGAGGGCTCTGGGGCTGGGGAGCAGGAAAGAGCAAATGTCATGGCTGGCTCGCTCCAGCAGCCGGGAACCAGAGCTGAGGACATCCTGAGGAGGCTTTTAAAATGACATTGATTGGGACAAGCTGTTCCCAACAGCAGAAAGAGTTAATCTTCCTGTTAATCAAGGCACTAAGGGGCTCAATGCGAGTTTTATTAGCGACTGAAGAACAGAGGCGGCAAGCGAGGGATCAAAAGCTGGGATCCCAGATATTTTGTCAGCGCGTGCTCTCCAGGAAAAAAAAAATGTATTTTCAATTAGAGAACAATTCGGCGCTTTTCATCATTTCCTAACCCAGCCACACAGATGGTGACTTACAAACCTGGCGAGCGGGGAAAACCGATGCCGGGGGGCAGCCAGGGGACCAAGGGGCGGGGAGGAGGTGAGGGTTGCCTCTTTGGAGTTCGGCGGGGAGAATTTAAGAACCCTCAGTCGGGGGCCCTGAAGCCTCCAATTCCTTCAGAGTAGAAAGATGATGAAAAGTGAAGCAACAGACACAACCACTAATATCCTCATCCATTCCTTCGGGTCAGCGCCCTACTCCCCAGGCGCGAGTGGAGTCCAGACCCCTCGCGCCACGGCCCCACCGACTGGAAACTTTGCGCAGAGAAAGAGACTCTCCTCCCTTCTCTCCCGCGCTGCCCCCTTCTGCCCCGGAGGGGCGTTGGATTCCCTTCGGTTTTCCTTTCAAATTCTAAAATAAATAAACTCCCGGGCCGTGAGGAAATCTGAATAGCACCCCCTCCAATAATCCAAATTATATGAGAGGATCTGAAGGAAAAAAGACCAACCACATACATCCTCCCATCGAGGAGGGCACCGGAGTGAGAAAGCAACAGAGGAGGTCCCTGGCTTGCCCTGAGCGCAGGGCGAGGACTCTGGTCAGAGGTAATTATGTCACCGCGTTTTCTCGCCGTGACAGCCGAATAAACACAATCTCCAATAAACAT